GTAAAGCTTGAAAAAGGAATACCTTTAAAGAAGCATGCACTATATCATTCATCAGGGTCATAGAACTATGGCTATCAAGCTTAGCTCTCTCAACTGGACCAATCAAAGGCTTTAGCCACACGTCAGCTTGACCTGATTTCCTTAAAAGGTTACCCTCAGCGGGGACTTTAATGGTAATTCGCCTCATAGCATCACTCATACTTGAAGAACCAACCTCTATGTAAGGAGCAGTTGAATGAGGAGTAGTCGAGAGAGGAACTGTGGAAGCTGTCATAATATCCTGGGGAGGAACGGTAACAGCCACGACCAGCAAAGGAGGAATCACAGGAACGGGAGTAGAAAAAGAAGCAAGAGGTGCTTCATCAGAAATCGGACCTAAATTTTCACCATCAAACCCGCGGTTAAAAAGTTGCTCAACTGAATCATGAGCAGCAATAGGGACTTCATCATCAGGAATCATCACCGGGGCTTCAATAAACTCGGTTAGAGGAACAGAACGAGGGGCTGCTTTATCATCAGAAATAATTCGCCTACGAGCTCGTGGCCTTTTTATCAAGGAACCCCCATCTTCCTCTTTTTCAGAATCTTGGTCACTAGCAGCTTTCCTTTTTGATGAAGAACCTAAGATTATCTCTTGGGCTCTTTTCAAAGAAACACGGGAAGCCACGACCGCCTCGACACTAATCCCTCGAACTGCAAATCCTAATAAAAAGAAGGATTAAAATAAGTTCTAGGAAAAACAACAAAGAGTTAAATAAATAAAAAATAAAAAAAACTCTTACCATGAGTTTTCACTTTCCAACCAAATCGTTGGAAAAGATGCTTCCAAGATCTACCCTTCATTGGGGCTGTATTCAGTAACCTTCCTACCCAACCACAAAAATTGGGAATTTCTTCAACAATTCCCATGGTTGCTAAAAAGAAAAAGGAAAATGAGAATAAAGATCATCAAAATTGAAGAAAAAGGTACGAGAAAGTTATTAAAAAAGAAAACTCACATGCAAAATTCCACTTCTCGGGGAAGGGGACATCTTCATCACCCACTAAACCAACGGTGGGGGAAGCAACAAACCTGGCGTACCAGCCACAGTCTCTGTCATCTTCTGGACTAACCAGAACCCTTTTGCTCCTAGCTACTAAAGTAAAAACGCCTTGGCGGAAAAGTCTGGGAGAGTAAAGGTGAATTAAATGAGCAAAAGTGAAAGGCACACCGGCCATGTTTGTCAAATGCCTCAAAGAGGCAACAACCCTCCACACTATAGGGCCAATTTGACTTAAGCAAACATCGAAAAAATGACAGAATTCGAGAATAACAGGATCAATAGCAGGTTTGAATCCTAATGTAAAATGGTATGTATAAACAAAGGAAAATCCAATTAAATAAGAGGTGATTCTTTGATTCACGCTGGGAATTATGATAGGGAAGTCATGACTCCAATGACAGTCTTTACGAACTAAAGAAATCAGACCCTCTGTGATCTGAGTTGGATAGATATCAACACGATCTAAAGAGGATACTTGATTCCTAAGGGACTCCCTATCGTTGTAGAAAGATAGTTCCGCAGGAACTATTTCTTCTACTGTAGGTTCACGAACAGGTTCAGCGAGTTGCTTACCCCTGGAAGAAGATCTTTGTGAGAAAGAACCTCTGGTTCTAAAGGAAGGACTGGAACTAGATGAAGGAAAAGAAGAACCATGTACAGAAGAAGACCATAAATTACGAAGTCTACCTCCTCTTCTACTCCTGCTAGGGGCAAGAGGGAAGTTATCAACTATGGGGACTCTTCTAGGGTTAGTGTTTGGTGAAGACATGATAGTACGAGGAAGAAGAAAATAAAAATTCAAGAGTTGAATATTCAGAGAACCTTATGTGATAAGGATAAAGACGAAAAGTATGTTTATACTAGGAAGCAACCGTCAAAGGAAAAGGTGCAATGATGGAAAAGTCATAATGAGAACTGTCGCTTCGTGATTAGTGAAGCCGTAAAAAAGCCTTAAAAGTGCTGCAAGGTTGCAGAGCCAATAAAAGGGTGTCACGTGTGATAAGCATTAAATGGAACTGACAATTGAAGCGTTAATTTTACCGTAGCATTAATAGCAGTGACATTCCCGCTTTAATAAAATCCACTTCCCAAATATTCAATTTATGAATAAATGGTAAGCAGGGGGACTATCTGTATTGGGAAAATCGAGTTTACATATTGGAATATGACGTGTCATGACACGAAGGCTGGTCAAAGAGTGATGGTTGTCAAAGAGGCACGAGTTGCAATAGATACGAGCAGAAGGTACAAGTAGAGGCACGAGCAGTTATTCAAAAGACTCAACGCTCGTACCTATTTATTCTCAAAAATCAAGGAGAATGAATCTGACAGCATAAGAGAGTACAGATACAGTATGTAATAAGCAGTAAATACTAAAAACGTTAGAGAATATGTATTAAATTACAATGATTATGTAAAGTAGCATTTGATGTCTTTAATTGTCTATAATGGCCTAATTATGACAAAGGCAAAACGTATATCTTTAAGATAGCTATAAAAAGGAGAGAATGAATCATTTGTAAGGACACGAAAGATTATCTGAATATACTGGTTTACTTTGTTTTCTTCTGTCTATCTTATTGTTAGCAAATCATTTTCCTTTATTCAATTTTGATTATCAGTAACCCGTGTTCTTCTAACTTAAAGCTTTGACTGAAATTCCACTTTTTGGTTAAACAGGAGCCATATGCAACACTGGATAAAGCAACACACACAAGGGAAAACAAACCATGCAAGACTTGTGAAGTTGGTGTATGCAAAGTTTGTCTATGCAATTTGGATTGAGAGGAATAATAGAACATTTGTCTAGAAGGAGAGATCAAGTGAAACTATAGCTAGAGAAATAGCATATACTTGTCATGTTAGAGCTAATGATACTATTAGGTTATTACTTCAAAACTGTAGATTTCCTAGCTAGGAAGTGAAGGAGAGATACAGATAGTGAGTTTTTCTTTGTTTTGTTATCAGGTCAGCAGACTGAGTTATAAAGTCTTCCTGGATTTGTAAATGATTTCTTGGTAATCAATGAAAGTAGATAGTTACCCAAAAAAAAAAAGATTGATCTTTTACCCTCATTTAAAATTTGTAGAAACCTCCCCCATGGAATATCCAAGTTGAAGTAAACAGGATTTGGAGCTTATCACAACTAGTAATCATGCTTGCTAAAAAGTTGATGTTAATTAAACTTTTTGCAAATAAACATCAACCCTTTAGAACACATAATCATTCACCAGCAGTACTTAATTCTAAACCATTAGACCCCTTCCANGGAATTACTGAAGACTTTTTAAGTTTTCTTTTCTTTTATAGCATATAGGTAGAGAATTGTCATTGCTCTAAACACATGCCTAAAATCTTCAAGATTACAAAAGTTTGGCTTCTGAATGATTACGAAATCCATATGTACGGGAAGTCTTTAAGAATCTAGTTTCCCATAACTGCAAGAATCCAGCTTTCTCCAGGTTTGCATACTCCTAATAGAAAACACAAAAGAAAAAGCTCTAGTGGTTGGATCATGAATCATGAATTCATGATTCACATGTTCATTTCACTGCAGTACTCATGTTATACTTATATCAACTCCATTACTTGATACGCTATTCTAATTATAGCACGACCAACATATTACATACATAGTCGGACCTACCCTTTGGATAGGGGATCACCAGCTCCGGTAACTTCAGAAAAAATGTATATGTGTATATGTATATATATTTTAAATAATAGGTATATTTTGATTGTCACTCTAAGATTAAAATCTTAGGCAGTTACGTTGGTCGATTTAGGGGACATAACTTGACTTTTGGTGTGCTGCCCATGTTCAATATCGACTTTATATATAGCATTTGCTCAAATTTTATTCGATAGCGTGGTCATTTTCAAATGATGGGTCCGCCTCTGGTTGCCTCGGTTACTTCAGCGATTAAACGTGTCCTCGCATTGTACTTGAAAGATGTTACTGTAATTGCTCTATTCAATTAAACATTGACTAAATATCTTCAGCCATTTGCTTCTCTATTGGCTTACATTTACCCTAGTTTACTATAAACCCTCCCTTTAATTGTCAAAAATGAAAAGGAGATCGATGCAGCTCGCATAGCAGCTTGGATTGAAATTGTTGTGACCGTTTGGTACAAAGCTACCAACTTTAGATTTGACAATTTGGGATATAAATTCAGTAACCAGAAAACGCAAAACTCTTACACCCTATATAAAACTTGTGAATGAAACAAATGAGGCTCAACGTAACTACCTTCCTAGATAATACAAATTCTTTAAGAATTTGAAAAATAAATATTAGTATTAATTATTCTCTCGGGCTGTCTCTGTATGTGCCAAGATTTCTTGCATTCCATGAGAAGTTTAAGTGAAGCAATGAAATTATTGGTGGATGTTAAAGTTCCTCTTGTTTTTTCTTTTTTCTTTTCTTTTCTACACTAAATGTTTGTCTTCTTATACACTCTAGGGCGACATTGGAACTGATACTAGGTTGCCCTATTTACACTCAAATACTTCCAGTCTCAGACCATCTTTTTTAATTTAATTTTTAACAAAATACATGTTAAACTGTCTTTATTAAAATGTTCTATGGTTACTGAAAAAATAAACAAAATTCCCAAATAGCCGCCTACATAATCTCTTAAACTAAAAATAGTCAGCGGATATATAAGATATATATAATTCATGCATAATATATGGATAACTATGTATAATTTATGTATACCGACTAGCTAGAAAAAGTAAACGTTGAATCCTGGCTGGCTTGTTTATTGAATAATTAACAATAAACAATTCAAATATACCCTTTTGGTGTTGCACAAAGATCCTGGAAATACATTTATTCCACATGAAGCATTCTTACTTAAATAAGCTGAAGAAGAAGTGAATTCCAAGCAAACACTTTTTTTTTCCATCTAAGTACTAATTATATTGCTCAACTTTTCTTCAACCTCTAACTTTAATCTTTTAGGTATAGCATAACTCTTTCTTTTTAAGTGTAAGGTACTATTGAACTGAAGTGTGCTAAGGGACTACTAAAAAATGGAAAAGTAGAATTCAATATACCTTCCCAACCTTGAAGAGCAATTAGTTTGAGGGAGAACATGCCTCAAGCCTCAAGGGCACAGATTACTTTTTCCTTTTTTCCTTTTAACTCTTTGTCTCTCCTTCTACAAATCTTGTTATATTTTGGAATAGTTAGAGAACAATAGTGAAAAGGGTTTTTCCTAATTTAGGTTCTTAACAAAAGAAATGACTTGTATCAATGACTCTGTCAACGAGCAATCTATCTCAATAAATGTTACCAATGAAAGCACCACAAATACTACCAAAACAAGAACTTGTCCTTCTTGTGGTCATCTGATCAAATCTGAAGAAAAGGTTAGTAATGTTATATTTTTCAATTGTTTGATTATACAGTCAAACCTCTCTGTAACAGCCTCGTTTGTTCCGATATTTTTTGGCTGCAATAGTGAAGTGTTGTTATAGATGACAAATATTATAATATAACATAAAAATCGATTCCAACAAAAGTTTGGTTTTTGTAGTGAATGGTTGGTATATAGAGATTATGTTATAGAGATGTCTGACTGTAGGTTATTATAACGCGATTGATTTTAATTTTTTTGCTCGTGGATTTTTGTGATTTTTTTTTTGTTGTTGAAAAGAGTAGGCTGGGATTCACAATCTTCCAGGGTTGCCTGCGGGGGTGAAGTTTGATCCAAGTGATCAAGAACTTCTTGAACATCTAGAGGCAAAAGTGAGATTAGATGCTCACAAACTTCACCCTTTAATTGATGAGTTCATTCACTCACTAGAGGGAGAAAATGGAATTTGCTATACTCATCCAGAGAAATTACCAGGTACTTACGCTACTAATCCTTTGCATTAGGATCAAGATTCATGCGCTTAATTAATGTGAACAAGCAATGCAAGAAATTGACCTGGTATATTTGTTTAGTCATTCAAATAGTGATGACATTTTTTTTTGGCTATGCATTGTACACCTCAAGTGGATCTAAACTTTAACTATATCAAATATCATTAGATAGGATAGTACAAGAACAAGATGGTTGATAATAGATTTTGAGCTATATACAACAACAATAATAACTATGCCTCAGTTCCAAATAAGATGGGATTTTGCGCCGTATATACCCTTAATTTACTTATTGTGAAATGATTTTAAGTTTGATGTTATTCAACCTCTTTTATATTCTCAAATACAGTTTGAAAGTGCTCTATGAGCCGCACAACTATAAAAATAGTGTCTTCATGTATGGTCTAATAATGAGGTTGTTATAGAATGTTGCCAAAAAGAATGGATATTACTAAAGAAATACATTTTTCACGTACTCACATTAATTCTATGCACATTTATGCTCTAATAGTGCAACAAATTATTTACTTGTAACTTAGGTAAAATGGTAACTAACTTGGTATTACATGTTTAATCACGCCTATATATACTGTCATTGTATATAACTTCAGTGGCGGATTTATGTTTTGAGGTATGGGTGCTTCAGCACCCATGGCTTTAGCTAAATTGTGTTATTTATTGAAAGATAATATTTAAAAACTTTTAATAATTGACCATGAGCACTCACTGTGATCATGTTTGACCACCATAAATTTACACTAAAATCAATGAAGCACCCACGACCAATAAATCCTGGATCCGCCACTGTATAACTTAAATCCTAATCAAATATATGATTTATTGACGTTGATAATTTGTGACGTGCAGGAGTGTCTCAAGATGGCATAATCCGACATTTTTTTCATAGACCATCTAAAGCATATACCACAGGTACAAGAAAAAGAAGAAAAGTAGACACAGATATAGAAGGAAACGAAACTCGTTGGCACAAAACAGGCAAGACTAGACCAGTTGTAGTCAAAGGCAAAGTGAAAGGACACAAGAAAATACTTGTGCTCTATACAAACTATGGAAAACAAAGAAAACCTGAGAAAACAAATTGGGTAATGCATCAATATCATCTTGGTGATAATGAAGATGAAAAAGAAGGAGAGCTTGTTGTATCAAAAGTCTTTTACCAAACTCAGCCAAGACAATGTGGTAATTCTCTCCTTAGAAATAATTGTCCTCCTCCTTCAATTAGAGCCAATATTGGTCAAGCATCTCAATTTAGAGACAATACTACATTTGTTCAATGTTTCAATAATCCAACTCTCATATCCTTTGATCAATATGAGCATAATAATCGTCCAACTCCTCGTCTCCCAAATTTTAATCTCCCTGACGCTTCATTTATTCCTTGACTATTTTTTTTCCTTTTAGATGAGATAGTCATACGTTTTAACAGTTCTGAATAAGTTATCGAAACAGAATTATTATAAGCAGGAGGACGAGGAAGAATAAAGAGAGTTTCTCTTGTTATTGAGGACTATATACTTAGGGTTTCAGGTGCTTCTAGAAGTTGGAAGATGAAGTTCAGCTCCAAACTTTAATTATCGTTTTAATTATATTTATATTTTTGATGTGGTTATTTATGCAATGATGCTTCCTTTGTACAGTGAGGCTGAAGAAATAAGTGTACATGGCTCATGATACATAGACTGGGAGAGTAACTAATTGGAGTTCAACTGTACAAAGATATATACTGCTATGGTTTAGCATATTTACACTCATTATTCATTATATTTTCTTTGCTATAATCTTAAGGTGTTCTTTCTTATATTTGGAACTTTAAGCATTGCAGTAATTCTGAAATTGTAGTAGCTCTTTTATTTAAATGAGTTTAATTTCTATAGAGTGATAGTGTAAAAGGATTTTTACCCTATCAGATATCTAAAAATAACTGCAGGTAACCATCCATAATTGGAATTAGTAGCTCTTGGTTTCAGACCTAGTGCCTTATACAAGGTAAATCTTGTTGTTCATTTCCACTTATATGAGAAGGTACAGTCAGATAATACAAGGCAAAATTTGAGTAACCCGTACAAAGAATCATTGTCATACTAACTTTCGATTATAAATGGTGCGAAAGATTCTTCGAGTATACTTTGTTTTGATCCCATGTGTTTGGCGTAAAAAAGGTAAATAGTTACTGTGTACGTATTCTTGTCACTTGTTGGAGACTTGGGAAGTTATTGTACCGTAAAAATAGCATGGGCTAGCCAGTTTTCGGATTGGTAATTGAAAAATAGCCACTATTTTGCTATAACAGGGAAAGTTCCAGCAGAATATACTAGAGATTGGTGCACTTGTGTATGAACTTCCAGCATATTATGCTGGAACTCCAACAGGCAAAAAATTCCAACATAATATACTGGAAATTGGAGCACCTATGTATCAATTTCCAGCATATCATGCTGGATCGGTATATTATACTGGAACTCCAGTATATTATGCTGGAATATTTTTCGGATTTTGAACAGAATTTTCGTTCAGATTTATCTTTATATGAAAAGTAGCTAAATTCAATTACTTTTGAAACTGTGACTATTTTTCAATGACCACTTGTAAATCTGGCTATTTTTGAATTTACCCTATTGTACCTCATATGGTACTTTTATAGTTTTACACAAGTCGATGTTGGGCTGTCTTTGAAAAAAAAATTAATGTAATTGTTTTCGCTCATTTATCTAGGCTTAAGCCCTTGATTCTTGAGCCTTTTTCCACATGCAATATTTCTCTTGCTGAAGAAAATAAATAAACCACAAAAGAGGGGTCAGTGTTGATAAGGTCAAACCTGAAGGGAGGTCTCTAAAATTCTCTCTTACTATTAAAATAAATAAAAGATCCTAAAAAATTAGGAGATTATAAAAGGAAGTGCACAGGTTCAATTGCAAGCCATTATTTGCTTTAATGATCCTGCAAGAACTGCTATGTGAAAAACAATTGGAAAACAAAGAGCATAGCAAGAACCAAATGATTTCCAAAAATGATGCATCAACATTACAGATTATTTTATTACAATGATGAGATGGGTAGCAATTTCAACCCTGTCTATGTAGAAGCAAATAACACATTGACGACTAAAAATAACACTCAGGAATAATAGTGCTGATACACTTGATACAATGTAAAACTGAGAACAAGTATCCCATTGTACCCAGCGAAGCAAATACGCTATGCCCATGGGTTGTGCGAGCGTGAAATATATGAACAGTTGATGATTTTACATAACATCCTTTGGCAACAGAATATTACTAAGTTCGTCACACCATCTATCCAACTACAGTCGCAGCAGAACAGCCATCTCACAGAGTACATAGGTTTCATCTATAATTATATTCATGCATGCAAACAGTTTGCCATTGTGAAGCCAGCAGATGGCTGAGTTGAACCTGCTTGGAGTTCTGCAGTTGACAACGCTAGTCTCCATTCTGCAACAACACAGACCAGACTGATTAGATGGAGTGAGTATTATGGGTTGCGAGTTTGACCTACAGCACATCACAAGACTAACCATATCATGCAACTTATCAAATTTGTACTTCTAAAATGTTTCTACTTGCATTCAATAAGAACATTTAATTATTTCTCCTCATACTTTTTGATTGGTAAATGTAACTTATATTGAAAGTACCAGCAAAAACCTGCGGAACGTTACAGTCAAAAGAGTGAACCATTTCAAGTCATGTAACTATTACTCGTCATACTTGAAAAAAGAAATTGAAGAGAAAAGGTTGTTACGTGTATGCAATAAGAACGTTTAATCCCAGTTAACTGTATGTACATCAGTATGCAACTACTCTCTCTTTCTCTCACTTGAGCTCATTCCATGGTTCTCCAACGCTGAAACGGCCAGCCATGGTGGCACAACAAAATCAAACCACCTCTTCACAGACTTCCCAGAAACGTCCTCAGTAATGAAAGGAACGCCAACGAAAATCAACCAAAGAAACCCATAGAAAAGCAACTAATATCCATTCATACAGGCAAGCAAGCAGCCCTCTTCTTAGAAGAAGCATATTACGAAACCCTAAGGGAAGATTGCAAACTCATTCTAATAGGGACATTATTTGAAGGACACCAAAATTAGAGGATGTTCATTCTGATTCAATTGCTAAAATCCTCTGAAGGGGCAGAAAGGCATGTGCTTCGGAATAAAAAATATGGGATAGAACCTTTCTTTTTAAGACCTCTTATGTGAAAAGCATTGAGCCATAAAATGCCAAATGAAGATGTTTTGCTAGAGAGAGTTAGATTACCTGTTAAGTGTTACTGTCGCAGGTAACACTAATAAGAAAATACCAATACTTCTCTTTTGTTTTTGTTTTCTTTGAATAAGTAAATGGAACACTTATTTATTATGAAGAGCTTATTTACCATGGAACACCAAGCAAAACAGCTCAATAATTAATTTGTAACAATTGAAACGTAAGACCATCCCATTAAGGCAAAAGTTGCTTAATTAGTAGATAGCCGAACCAAGAAACAGAACGCATGAGACAGTGCTGAGCTAAACTCAAATACAACGTAAATTCACAAGCAGTTGCCTTCTAGAGCACATGCATCTTTTTATGCAGATAGAACCGATTCCAAGCAATTGCCCTCTTGGGCACATGTATCCTTTAATAGAGATTGACGAAGCTCTTACATGGGAAGAAAATTAGGGGACATCACCAACAATTGAGAGAGTAAGTGGGAGAAACCTCTCAGATTAAGACAAAAATACGAGGATATCCAGAACGTGCAACAGCAGAAGGAAGCATTAGAGATTCAAATGGAAATTTATTTTGGGAGAACTAATTTATTTTGATCAGCTCAGCGGATGTACTAATTCAAATGACAGTGCAGGTGACGATAGGCTATAATTACGTATTTTAGTCACTTATTACACTCAAATTTACTGCACTTTAATTGAGTNAGAGAATTACGATATCTAAAATGCTCACGATCAGTAGAGAATAACTTGGTAAAATTATAAGGAACATAGCTAGAAAGATTCCGACAATTGGGGAAATCATAGCTCTAGACCTTCTTAATTTAGTCTTCAACCCTTTGTCTCGTTAGTTGATAATTTTACCGTTTTCTAGTATTTGCTAGTTAATTAGTTAGAAATATAAATCTCAATCTTTATAATTTAGAAAATTGTTCAAACTTGTCTTTTTAGTGATATTAAACAGATATAGCTAAGCCTTAGTTCTCTGTGGGATTCGACTNACTGAGTAAAAGCCCAAGGAATTAAGCCGGGATCGTATTCGGGGATCAACGGCTGATAGAGCAATAAAACGAAGAATCGAGTAGGCATATTGCGCATTGTCTAGTAAAATGCACATAACTTTTTGCTCAGAACTCCATTTGGTCTCCACAATATATGGTTGGAAAGATAACTCAAAGGGCTACAACTTTCATGTTTTACGTTTTTTCAAATCCCAAACGGAACAGGGTGAAAAATGCGGTCGAAACCGCGACCGCGAACCTGAGGCGGGCTGAGGCAGTACACTAGGAAAGTACCGCGCCCGGGCCGCGAACGTCCAGGCCTGGAAACTTGTTCTTTTTCGCGTAGGAGAAGGTATAATAGTTTGGGCCCGACCCTACTTGGTATATATACATGGAAAAACGATATTTTGAGAGGAGGAGACCAATTTTTGACACATATTCGACCTAAGGAGGCAGAGACACAATAGGAGCAAGGCGGAGAATTCTTCTACGAGTTTTTCCTTCCTCTTCCTATTTTTTTCATTGTTGGTTATGACTTTTAGTATTGTAGTTTTACATACTATTATGAATAGCTAATTTGTTATCTAGGGTTTTGATAGAACCTTTTGTAGGATAAATTCTTTGTTATGTTTTTATATAATTGAGCCGTTGGATTTCTCTACTTGTTCAACTACGTGTTTGTTGTTGTTGATTGAATGACCATCAATTGACTGTGCCTATTTAGTGTGTAGTGCTCGAGAGAGAGTACATATTTAGGTAGTTGTTGAAAAACGTCACTCCTAACGTATGTGAAAAATCAATACAGTTGGTTTAAAGGCAGATTTAGAAATAACAAAGCCTTGACGTGGTCATAATGAGCGGTTAGATAAAGCCAACTAGCGTAGTTCGAGAGAATATGTCTAGTAAATTATTGTAGTTGTTTGAGAGAGAATTACGATATCTAAAATGCTCACGATCAGTAGAGAATAACTTGGTAAAATTATAAGGAACATAGCTAGAAAGATTCCGACAATTGGGGAAATCATAGCTCTAGACCTTCTTAATTTAGTCTTCAACCCTTTGTCTCGTTAGTTGATAATTTTACCGTTTTCTAGTATTTGCTAGTTAATTAGTTAGAAATATAAATCTCAATCTTTATAATTTAGAAAATTGTTCAAACTTGTCTTTTTAGTGATATTAAACAGATATAGCTAAGCCTTAGTTCTCTGTGGGATTCGACTCCAGACTTTTAGACCGGATTATATTTGCAGCGACCGCTTATCCTTTTTAGGACTAGAGTTGGGCGTGATCAAATTTTGGCGTCGTTGCCGGAGAACTAACTGTGTAGTTGTAGCTTTATATATTGCTAGGGTTCAAGTTTGAACTTTTATTTTGTTTTGTTTTGTTTTGTTTTTTTTTGTATTTTTTTTATAACTGTTAATTTGAGAAACATGACATCTTGAAATTATGGGAATTTAGGTATAGATAATTCTACTATTGATCCGCATACATATTGTGAAGGAAACCACCCGTATCAAAATTACCAAAATATTCCTGAGAGCGAGTTATGTGCACCAACTCAATCTTATTTGTGGAATGTGTGTGATGTGTGTGGTGGTAAAAATAGTCACTTTAATGTTTGTGCTTATATTTCTTATCTTCCCTCAACCCCTTACTATGATGGTTCTACCTTTTCTTGTGAAGTTAATAGGAACAAAGAACCTGAGAATGCAGACCTAAAGGAGATCAAGGATATGTTAAAGTGCCTTCTGAAACAAAATAATGAAAAACAATTGCAGATAGAAAGGCAAGAGGCAACTATTCGCAAGTTGGAGGCTCAATTGAGTCAAGTGGTTGGAGCTTTTAATGCTCAACAAGCCAATATTGATGATAGTAGCCAAGAAGAGCATGAATTTGAGGTGTTAATTGGGGAGGTCAGAGTAGAACATCAACAACCTAGCCAACTACAATTTGAGGATGTCAATGTCGAAGAAGTGAGACTAGAGTCAGCCAAGGACATTGAGGATACAAATTTTGTTGACTCTAGTATCATTGATGTTGAGGATGCTGAAAGTCCTGAAGTTCATGTGTGTGGTCCTCTCTCCAAACATTTTTCTACATTGTGCTTGGATGACGATATGGAAATAGAGTCATTCGAGCCGATTGAGAAGTCAAGGAATGAGGAACAAGGTGCCTACATTCTGGAATTTTTCTTGCCAGAAAGACAGGACTACATACCTCATCTAAAAGCCAAGAAGTGTAGAATAGTACAATAGTTGCTTGGGCCAATTAGATTTGTTCCTCCACCCTTGTCCCCAAGTGATTCGCGCCGTGCCACGACGTTAAATTAAGCGCTTGTTGGGAGGCAATCCAGCTTTATTGCTTTCTTTTATTTATTTTTTATTTTTTAAACTGTATTATTTTTGTAGTGTCAATTTTTTATGTTCTAGGAGCATGGAAAGCAAAGGTATTGGAAGGATGCAACAACAAACCAAATGGTTGGAACTAAGTGTGAGGTACCCGCACGAAGGATCAAGCTTGGGAGAAGTGTGAGTACCCCATGAGTTGTTAGTGCTTCAACCTACCAGAGAGTCTCTTTTACCCTTTTATTATTTATGGTGTGCATTGAGGACAATGCACAATTTTAAGTGTGGGGTGAGGAGATTGTCTGGGTGACTTTCTATGCTATTTTAGTTGTGTTAGTTTAATTAAATAATTTTTTTTTTAAAATAGAAAAGATTGGACTTTTCCCGACTATGGATTTATTAGACAATTTTCTTGAGGGATTTAAGTCTGAAGAAAAAATAAAATAAAAAGATTTTCTTTTGTTAGGTAGTGTAGCAATTCCTCCTTCGTTTTTCTTTGTGTTGCGGTTCTTTTCCAATGGTTTTATTTGAACCGGGTATAGTTAGTTTTTTTAGGAATAGGAGCCATTGTGTTGTGTTTTGAATTGAAGCAATATCTCTTGACTTTGTTATGCCTTGAGAACAGTGAGTACTTTGGTTGTGACGCTTATGGTCAGTTTTTGACTCTTGTATAAGTACCTTAAATTGTATGATCTTAAATTTGCTTAACTGTTTTAACTAGAGTGTCTTGATGAGTGCAATCCTGAGTGAGTTATGTGTCATGTGTGTGTAAGGATTTGTTATATTCTGTGCATTGCATCTGATGCCTAGCACTTGCCTTGTGTGTTTGCAAAGCGAAATAGTAGTTTTGTTCAGTCTTGAAAGTGATATAGGCGTTTCTTTGTTGAGCCAGATATGTATATTTTACCCACCTAGTTGTTATGTATCGTAGTTAACCCCTTTGAGCCTGTAATCTTGTTTCTTTGGCAACCACATTACAAGCCTTACCCATTTGTTTGAATTAACCATCTATTTGAACCATTGTAACCTCTCATGAGCACTTGAATTGTTTATGAACTTTGTAAAGGTTAAAGTATGGGGTGGTTGGTTTGGCTTTTGAGTGGAACTAATTAAATAAGGAGAAAAGTGCGCTGTTTTGAAAAAGTAAGAGCCACTTGAATTGAAAAAAAATAAAAAATAGTTGGATTGTTGTGGAAAAAAAATTCCTTGATAAGTGGTGGCTCTTGATGTAAGTATGCTTAAAGAAGAATGAGGTAATATACATTGATGTGAAGGTGGAGTTTTGGTTTGACATGAGTTTGAGGTTTAATTTAGGTAAAGTATATGTATTAAAGTGTCTAGGGAGGTGTAGTCACGCTTATATCTAAATGTATCCTACCCATCCCGTAGCCTACATTACAACCAAATAAAGTCATAATTGATCCTAGATTGAATGAGCTCGATTAGTGGAGTAGTACACTACGGGCAAGCTTATGGTGCATCTTTTGTGGCATATGAATGTTATTTCTCAGAGTGAGTGAATTCTTTCTATCTTGAGTTCCTAAGTGTTCTTAAATTTTATTGTGTGGAACTACTCTCTGTTGTTGTGTGAGGGCACTTGATTTATGAAGGAAAGGTAATGTCAGTGACCTCTATGTTAGAGTAAGTGGGTGAGTTGTGAATAATGCGTGGTACTTGCATTGTGAGTCAAATCTTGAGGTGAAGATGTTACGCTTTTGTGCTTAGTCTATTTTAAATACTCTTGGTGTGATGGGTTATGAGAATTGTTTAAAAAGGTCGTGTCTATAAAAAAGTGCAGTTTGATTACTCGAGGACGAGCAATGGTTTAAGTGTGGGGTGTTGATGATCGGCTATAATTATGTATTTTAGTCACTTATTACACTCAAATTTACTGTACTTTAGTTGAGTTTGAGCTTTAATCGCTAGTGTCTTGCACTAATTGTGTGTTTTATGCCTTGTAGGAGTGATTCCGAGCTATGTAGATGTTATGGAATGAATTCAAGTGATTTGGAGCTTGGAAGTATTAGTAAAAGCCCAGGGAATTAAGCCGGGATCGTATTCGAGGATCAACGGATGATAGAGCAACAAAACGAAGAATCGAGTAAACATATTGCGCATTGTCTAGTAAAATGCACATGACTTTTTGTTCAGAACTCCATTTAGGCTCCACAATATATGGTTGGAAAGCTAACTCAAAGAGCTACAACTTTCATGTTTTACGTTTTTTCAAATTCCAAACGGAACAGGGTGAAAAATGCGGTTGAAACCGCGACCGCGGACCTGAGGCGGGCTGAGGCAGTACACTAGGAAAGTACCGGGCGCGGTAGCCCGTATCGTGCCCGGGCCGCGAACGTCCAAGCCTGGAAACTTGTTCTTTTTCGCGTAGGAGAAGGTATAATAGTTTGGGCCCGACCCTACTTGGTATATATACATGGAAAAACGGTATTTTGAGAGGAGGAGACCAATTTTTGACACAAATTCGACCTAAGGAGGCAGAGACACAATAGGAGCAAGGCGGAGAATTCTTCTACGAATTTTTCCTTCCTCTTCTTTTTCATTGTTGGTTATGACTTTTAGTATTGTAGTTTTACATACTATTATGAATAGCTAATTTGTTATCTAGGGTTTTGATAGAACCTTTTGTAGGATAAATTCTTTGTTATGTTTTTATATAATTTAGCCGTTGGATTTCTCTACTTGTTCAACTACGTGTTTGTTGTTGTTGATTGAATGACCATCAATTGACTGTGCCTATTTAGTGTGTAGTGCTCTCGAGAGAGTACATATTTAGGTAGTTGTTGAAAAACGTCACTCCTAACGTATGTGAAAAATCAATACAGTTGGTTTAAAGGCAGATTTAGAAATAACAAAGCCTTGACGTGGTCATAATGAGCGGTTAGATAAAGCCAACTAGCGTAGTTCGAGAGAATATGTCTAGTAAATTATTGTAGTTGTTTGAGGGAGAATTACGATATCTAAAGTGCTCACGATCAGTAGAGAATAACTTGGTAAAATTATAAGGAACATAGCTAGAAGGATTCCGACAATTGGGGAAATCATAGCTCTAGACCTTCTTAATTTAGTCTTCAACCCTTTGTCTCGTTAGTTGATAATTTTACCGTTTTCTAGTATTTGCTAGTTAATTAGTTAGAAATATAAATCTCAATCTTTATAATTTAGAAAATTGTTCAAACTTGTTTTTTTAGTGATATTAAACAGATATAGCTAAGCCTTAGTTCTCTGTGGGATTCGACTCCGGACTTTTAGACCGGATTATATTTGCAGCGACCGCTTATCCTTTTTAAGACTAGAGTTGAGCGTGATTAGCAGGCAATGCTTTTTGAAATGAGTTTGAGATGGTGTAAGAATCAATCAATCAAGGATTTCTTTTTACAGAAAACGGACCTCTTGTGCTCTCCAGAGCAGTTGGAGGAACAACGATTCTGAACTGATGGCAGGAGATAATACCAACGAAATCAAGACCTCACTAGAAGAAACAAATGGTGAGGTGCACCATCAATACGAAGTAGGTTATAGAAAAGCAAAATCCCCGGACAACCGATGGACATCAAGTTATATCTTAAGTCTATAGCGACTTAATGGAGCTGCAGCGTGAAATTAAAGGCCATCCCAACTCAGATAAATTCCAGTACTTATCCTACAAGATCAGATCTCAAAATTCAAATAATAGGAGATCAAACTATATAGCAAACATAAATATAAACTGCAGATTGAAATAATTCACCTTAAACTTCAGACTGCAACAGAGGCTGGTTTCCTATTTAAAGCTAGATAGACCTCATCAGACAAGGAAGCAGTAATAAGGTCAAGAGACTCAAACGGCTCTCTCAGTCTCAAGCATTTTAGTAAAGAGTATCAGTAGGGTTCTTATTTTTTAATCTGGTCACTCAAATCTCAGAATATTGGGTTTTCGCCATGTTGTAAAATCATAATGGTTTGGAGGTAATTTTTAACAACAATGCAAACAAGAAAAACAAAAAAGATGAAAAAAGAGCCACAGAATTAGGCACCAGAGAAGTTGGTACAGCTTTGGGAGAAAAGGGACATGTACAAAAATCCAGTTGTATCAGGGCAAGAACTCTGCCATCAATCTTAACAGGGGAAAATGGTGGTTTACAACAAAAAGTTGCCGAGGCTTAGTTCTTTATTTCTTTTCCTTTTTTGAGGGTCTAAGCAGGACGAGTGATTACACTTGCACCTAAAACAACAACCAGTGAAAAGTTCTTAGGCAACACTGTTGAGACTTGAAAGTTGGAGGTGCGCTTCATTTACATATAGCAGACAAAAGAACCTATATATTTTTGTTCCCTTCAATGCTTGTGGAAGATTGTACATTATATGTTATCTTATAAAGGGAATAGTGCTCACTTTGTTAAGGAGTCAAATTCTAGAGAAACCATCAAGCAATAAAATTTGTCATCAGGCGAAAAAAAATAGTTGACATCAAAGAAATAAGGACCTGATTTGAGGCCAATATCTCTTACCGCTACAAGTATGAACATCTACTATAAAGTAGAATTTTTCGTAAACCCCAACTCTTTTTATTTCCTCAACAACAACAAATACCAAACTAGCCGGGGTCAGCTATATGAACCTTCATTATCATTCACTCCATTTGGAACACTGCATCCCAATACTCAATAATTTCAACATTAATCCTCCAATTTGAGGAAAATTTTCCTAAAAAGTCAAACAAATAAATTAACACTACAAAAGATCGCACGCTAATGCAAAGTACAATTAAACAAAAATCAAGCTTGTCAAATAATCACCTGTCAAGACAACGCAAATTCGACGAAGAGTCCTATTGTTTCTTCTTCTTTCTGAAAATATAAACGTCGGTCTCCTCGTACGCGTACTCCGGATGTAAATGCTCGTGTGGAACCTTCTCGATATCAAACATGTCTCCGCTAAGCTCCCAGAACTTCTTATGCGCTTCAGGAGATCTCAGCTGGTAACCCAACAAAACGACGCCGTTCTCTCCCAGCAAAGCTTCCATAGTCGAGAGCAATGGACCCACCGTCTCCTCCAAGTACACCACATCGGTAGCAACAACGACATCAAGCGGTGGGTTAAGAGATTTTATCTGGTCTTGATTGGACCAATTCAACTGAGCCGTTTTCAAAGATTTATTCAAAACGGGCTTGTTTTTCTTAAGGTTGTGTTTTAGGGCCGGCATAACAGGAGCGATATCAGTGATAACGACGTTGTTCAGTCCCAGCAAGAAGAGGCCCATGGCGGCTACTCCACAACCGGCGCCGAGTTCGATTCCGCGTTTGTTTTGGAAGTTAAGGATGTCGGAATAGGGATTCGGAGTAACGGCGCATGTTTGAGGATGCCAACGTTCGGCGAATTTGACGAGGACAAGTGAACAGGGCCATACGCTGGTACCTACGTGCATGGATCCATTGTCTTGGTGGAAAGATAGCTGAGAATTTAGCACTTGAAGATCGATCACTGGCGAGTCTGTGAACTTCATCTTCTCTAATTTTCTCTCAGTAAAAACTGCACTTTACCTTTGAGCTGAAATTAAATGTCAGTGGGTTAATGGGCCAAACTTCTGGAACATACCAGTAGTGGGCTAGGCCTTCTTCAGACAAAGGGGATTTTGTGCCGCGACCTGAGTGTTTACACAGCTGCTCGGATTTCCTATTTACTTTTTCGTATACATAGATTATAGATTCATTATTATTATTTATATTATTATAAAAGTGAAAAGTCCTTAGTTAAAAAGTTAAATGATTTAAATGCCTTTTTAAATATCCTAAATATTCTTACTTATATCAAATATGGAAATAAAAAAGCAAATAAATGGAGGAGTCCATCACGCATCAAATATTTTTCTTTGATCGGTAAGTTAATGTCCTCCGTATAAAACTCTTATTTTCTTGTACTTTACATATATATTGGTTTTGTTTAGTATCTATTACCATAATATTAAGTTTTTGGTTTAGTTTATTTCCTTGATTTATTTTGGTGATTAAAAAAGAGAAACTATAATAATTTATGTGGGGTATTTTTTTCATGCATTTGTTAAAGATCAAAATTATTGTTTTGTATTAAATATATTTACGAATGAAAATTTACAAACTATAAAAAGTCAATATGAAAAAGTTACAAACTTTAGAAAGATATGCTCAACTTGCATTGTTTATTAAGGGTAAAGGCATGATAAAACACCTTAATAAATAGTATGTAGCATATCTTTATTAGGCAATTCTTACTGCAAGAGAGTTTATGTAACTATACTTGTTTATTATTTTACAAACAAAATGTACTTTATTAAAAGATAAAGTTAAGTTGTTACGAAGAAAGAAAGTGAATGTATAGTTTTACGAAGGTGCTTATAAGTGACTGAAATTTAGAATATATGAGTGATCCTCAAGTAAAGAAACCGTAATAAAAATTAAAAATAATTTAAAAGTGAATTGATTAGCAAGCTATTATATTATATTTTAGTGCAGAAATCTAAATAATATTAAAGCACTTGCTATTTTAAGTGAAAATAAAATAGTAAAAGAAATATAATATGAAAGAAAAAAATAGAAAAGAGATAGGCAGAGTATTTTTGTAATATATTTCTCTTTAAAATATCTATAGANCATATATATATATATATATATATATATATATATATATATATATATATATCCATCATTTATTTTTAGTTTAAATGGTTGGGTGAACAACTGTTTAAGTTAATTATTTTTTATTTTTGTGTTTACATAAATTTTAGAAATTTTACCGGATAAAAATTATAAATAGACCTTTTCCATGTCTGTAAGTGAAAAATAGGACTATCGTGGAGTTTCAAATTTGACATGTGAAATTCCAAGATATTAATTTTAACTAGTATTAGCACCCGCGCAGATGTGCGGACACTAACCATGTTAGATATTTGAATTATTTGGATTATACGTATAAAAATCTTCAAATTAAAACCTTCTCGATAAATATAGATTATCATTGGATATTAATTAAGAAACACTACATGAAAATGATTAAATATTTCTCAAATCTCCTAGTTATAATTCTATTTTTCTTTTTTAGTACCATTCTCGCCGGTGTCATTGGGTCCAAAAAATAGTCAGGAAGCAAAATAATAACTCGTGTTTATGGCAAACCAATCAAAGGTTGAGACTATGAAGAACTCTTTGAATACGACTTGACTCTTTTACTACTGCTTAAACTCTTATTTGGTGTGTTGATATATTCTAAAATTATTTCTATTTTAAATTTTCAGTTTCTAAAACTTTGTTTTTCAATAATAATTGTTTTTATAACAATATAAGTGAAAATATTATCCTTAATTCAAAACTCATTTTAATCGGCTATCTAAAATTTAAAAAAATTATTTAGCTAGTGATTTTCTTTCTAGTATGACTCCATTTTGATATTTGATACATGTTAAATATGTGAGTTATTTGAATTATATGTAAATAACCTTAAAATTTAAACCTTCCAGGTAACTATAGATAATTGTTAGATATTGTGTATAGAACACTACATGAAAAAGGCTAACATTTTCTCAAATCACATAGCGATAATTTTATTTTTGCACCATTCTTATTGGTGTCATTGGAACCTAAAAATAGTCACAAAGCGAAATAATAACTCGTATTTATGAGCTCTCGCAAAGCACAAAGGTTGGCACAATATGAACGATTCTTTGGTTACGACGTGACTCTTTTACTACGACTTGAATTCTTATTTGGTATGCTATTATGTTTAAAAAAATATTTCTATTTTGAAATTTCAATTCCTACAACATTATATATATTTCAATAATGATTATTTTTATAATGATGCAAGTGAAGATATTATTTTTAATTTAAAATTCGCTTTAATCGGCTATCTAAAAATGTAAATGAATATTTGGCCGTAAATTTTATTCTAGTATGACTCCATCTTAAGTTTATCGATATCTCTAGCCACAGATTTTAAATTTTGAATACCCTATACATATACAGATTTTTTGTTCTTTGAATCATTAAATGTTAGATTGATTGATTGTTATTATATAGCATTGCATATATTGTTTTAAAATTGCCAAGCAATTTTTTCTCGACACCATACTTGGCTTAACCTCAATGCAAACTACTAAGTTACAATAAAATTCAAATTCAAATACCATATCAGTTTGTTAGTACTAGTATTTTTTTTTAAAAACGACACACAATGTAAATAAAAAAATATTCTAAGATATCCTTATCTTATAATCTATGTATTTGAGTTGAAAAAAATATTTGAAATCGATGAGATCGTCTTCCAAATTTTTTACACTTAACAAAGATGAAACAGAAGAAGAAATTCGTTGTCGTCTCTTATTTCTGGTCATTAGATTTTTCATACATTTTTTCTATATTTATTTTCTTTTATCTTTTTTTTTTGTTTTTCTTTCTTTTCTTACATAAAATTAAGTTATTTCGTAAAAAAAAAGATGAGTTTTAATTTAATAGAAATTGTCTACATAAGAACTTTTTTTATATTTTTAGTCTTTGGTTGAAATTCTGTCATATTATTCTTTTGGCTTTATCTTATCAACCTAAACAGGAGCTCACCCAACCACTTAAATTAAAAAATTGAGGATGTATAATTTATATATAATTCATATGTAACATGTGTATAATCGTTTGTAATAGGTATATCATCTATGTATATTAGCTATAAAAAGTAAACAATAAATCTGCCCGGATATTTATGTAATAATCCACAAGATTTCGGTTTCTTGATTTTATCCATGATATGACTTCTATTATAATTATTTTAAAAACTCTCTACTAAAATTTAAAAATATCTTGCCTTTTATTTTAAAAATTACATTATAATTTAAAAATAATCTCATTTCGAAATAATTTGTTTACATTTTAAAAATAACTATTTCACGCCATACCAAATTTTTTTAAAAATATATTTTTTGTTATACTTGAAAATCACTATAGAAACTATCAATTAGAAACCAATATCCCTCCTTTTGAAATCGAGAAAAAAATATTTCACATAATCTAATGATTCAAAACTAATATTTTTCAATGAAAAAATACTACACCCTTGTAATGTTGGCTTGACTGCAGCTAAATGAAGAGGTTTCGGCTTATACCCTTCAATTCCTAGAAGGTGTTAAATAGAAATTAATAAATTATATAGCCAAAGTTTTGTTATCTGTTTGATGTCCATTTATATAAATTGATTCTTCAAACAAACATTTTTTTAAAAAGAAAAAAAAAACAACTTGTGTTGAATATTGAGTGATTTTGTAATGTTTCTTTCCCCAACATGTAGGTTTACTTTATTATATATGTAAGTAAATTTTTATTAACTTTTAAACTTTTTTTGTTATCTGGATAAACATAGACGTGTACCATATATATTACATTTATTTTAAAAGAAATTCACTTTATTCAAATCGAGCTATAGACTATAATTATAGGATTTTAAATGTAAAAAAGTTTATAGTTATATCGAGATTTTTTTTTTGGCCAGAGGCGAAGTAGTATTTACATAATTTGAATTAAGATAACAAAAGTTCCTAATATAATTGCATATGATCACTAACCGAATTAAGTATGATAACATGGTAACAAAAGATAATTTTTTAAATTTTAATTCAAATTCAAATACTTTATATACATAAATTCAAAATTACCATATATATATATATAACATAGTCAAATATAGAATAAAATTACCGTATACTATTGACATTTATTAGTTTGCCACTTGGCTTAACCACAAAGTCAATTATATATGGTAACTTTATGGCTTTAATATATACTAGTATTAGCACCCGCGCAGATGCGCGGACACTAACCATATTAAATATTTGAGTTATTTGGATTATACGTAAAAAATCTTAAAATTTAAACCTTCTCGATAAATATAGATAATCATTGGATATTAATTAAGACATGAAAATGATTAAACATTTCTCAAATCTCCTAGTTATAATTCTATTTTTCTTTTTTTGGTATCATTCTCGCCGGTGTCATTGGATAAAAAAAAATAGTCAGAAAGCAAAATAGTAACTCATATTTATGGCAAAACAATCAAATGTTGAGACAATGAAGGACTCTTTGGATACGACTTGTCTCTTTTACTACAGCTTGAACTCTTATTTGGTGTGTTGATATATTCTAAAATTATTTCTATTTTAAATTTTCAGTTTCTAAAATTTTATTTTTCAATAATAGTTATATGAACAACGTAAGTGAAAATATTATCCTTAATTCAAAACTCATTTTAGTCGGTTATCTAAAATTTTAAAAAATCTTTAGCGAGTGATTTTCTTTCTAGTATGACTCCATTTTGATATTTGACATTAACCATGTTAAATATGTGAGTTATTTGAATTATATGTAAATAACCTTAAAATTTAAACGATCTAGTTAATTATAGATAATCATTAGATATTGTTTATGAAACACTACATGAAAAAAGGCTAACATTTTCTCAAATCTCGTAGTGATGATTTTATTTTTGCACCATTTTTATTGGTATCATTGGAACCTAAAAATAGTCACGAAATAATAACTCATATTTATGAGCTCTGGA